ACCCCTAAGCTAAGAAGGCGGACGACAGGCGGTGGACAACCTGGGGCTACTTCACAGGCTGAAGACGCTGTTGGCAGCCGCACTGCACAGACGCAACACGCTTCTCAACAAGCAGAGCAGCACGTGGAAGAAACGCCGTTGTGCTGCCGGCTGAGTTAAAGCGGCCACAGCCCCTGACGGCACGGGTTCCTGAATGAACGGGCAGGGCTGGTGGGTATGCTGACTTTGCGAAGGCGCTGCCGGTGGCCATCAGTCCCCACATGGTTGGGACAGCCCGCACAGGTAGATGGAGTTTCGAACCGCCATGGTAAAGTCGTTGCCGATATTGAGGTCGCTCACCCCACTGGGCTACGGGAGTGCGGTAACCGATTGTTGGTGCTATCCCTTCTGTCTTGTGGGCCGGATCTGCAGTTGTCGGACGGGATCGGCAGCTGTCGGATCACTTACCGATCCGACCGGCACAGACAGCGAGATAGCATTAATAACCGATTAGAACGCCTCCGTAGCCCGGTGGGGTGAGCGACGACCACAATATCTGCGACGACCTGGAATACGGTACTTCGAGTCCCACTCTTGCCAAAAACTCCCGAGCGTACTACCGGCTCGCCCGACACAACATGGCAACCCAACCCCTTTCGGCAGTTAATTTCGGTTGCTCTGATTACCATTCACATGTATGGACGGTTCGTCAATCGACAAGGCCGAGATTCCAACTCAACGCGGTAACATCCCAACGGGTTAGCAGGCCGCCGCCTTCGCCGCTCGGCCACCTTGCCAGGTGACTGGATACCGATTGTCCATCTGCTCCCCCGTGTCACGACGAGAATGAATAGTCTCGCTCGGCGGAACGGACGAACCGAAGGAGGCCAAAAAGGCACCACCATGCTGTGGTTGTGGGGGATTACGCTGAGGATTGCGGGAGGTACTTGCTGTTCCGCGGTAAGGCCCAGGACAAGTTCTTGGAACCGGTCAACACGCCTTTTTGTCCTTTGTGGTAGCGTGAGTTAAGTGTGGGGTT